TCTTCAACTTTTTGGGGGGTATGTGTGTGTGATTGGTATCTATCAAACTCCAAGGTCCTAGATGTATTAGATATTTTGTTTTGATTCCTTTCCCATGAAATTCTTCATCAGTTTGTCAGTAGGTAAGAATACCCAAATATAAATATATTTTAAGGCTATACTATTAACTGGGAGAAGGTGTAACATTCTGAGACAAAGGGTAGGAAGGGCTCTTGGAATCCTAGAGCAACTGAACTGAAGATCAGGCATAAAGGAAGGGTGGCTGTTGAGATTCTGTGACTCCAAAAGTCTTTTGTCTCATGTCTCCTCCCTTCCCCCAACACATATACCCTTTATCTCAGTTGTCTTCTCTTCAATATAGTATTCCAGTTTCCTGGTGGCAGAGATGATGTCAGATTGTCTTATTCATTGCATTTTTTGTCACAACTCATACATAGTGCTTACATACTTGTTTAGCAGCAAGAGCCCAAAGTATCGTTGATGTCTATTGCCTTACCATGCTGTGCATGGAGACAGAGGCACAAGCATAAAATAAACCCATAAAATCGAGATGACTTCTGTTAATGAATACAAAATAGTTTACATAGATAACTTAAAATTGCGTATCTTTACAATTTACAATGTAGTCAGTTGATCAAAACCTATAAATAAACGTCAGCCCTGCTAAGATTGTCTGTAGAATTAACTACAATTACCATACCAGGCCAGGCGCGGCGGCTCACGCCTGTAATCCTAGCACTCTGGGAGGCCAAAGTGGGAAGATTGCTTGAGCTCAGGAGTTTGAGACCAGCCTGAGCAAGAGCAAGACCTCGTCTCTACTAAAAATAGAAAGAAATTAGCCAAACAACTAAAAATAGAAAAAATTAGCCAGGCATGGTGGCTCATGCCTATAGTCCCAGCTACTTGGGAGGCTGAGGCAGGAGGATCGCTTGAGCCCAGGAGTTTGAGGTTGCTGTGAGCTAGGCTGATGCCATGGCACTCTAGCCCAGGCAAGAGAGTGAGACTCTGTCTCAAAAAAAACTGAAGGCTGGGCGCGGTGGCTCACGCCTGTAATCCTAGCACTCTGGGAGGCCAAAGTGGGAAGATTGCTTGAGCTCAGGAGTTTGAGACCAGCCTGAGCAAGAGCAAGACCTCGTCTCCACTAAAAATAGAAAGAAATTAGCCAAACAACTAAAAATAGAAAAAATTAGCCAGGCATGGTGGCTCATGCCTGTAGTCCCAGCTACTCGGGAGGCTGAGACAGTAGGATCGCTTGAGCCCAGGAGTTTGAGGTTGCTGTGAGCTAGGATGACGCCACGGCACTCTAGCCCAGGCAACACAGTGAGACTCTGTCTCATAAAAAAATAAAAAAAAAAAACTAAAAAAAAAACGTACCAACAGCTCACCTATCAGTCTCTCAAAAGACCTTAACTTAGAACAATTATAGGTCAATTACACTCAGTTTAACCTGCAAATTTTTCAAGTAGTGGCAGTACATTTAGCTAAGTCACCCATACTCTCACTTGACTTACTCTAGGGTATTTGTGTTGACAGTACATGTGAAATGCCTGGTCAAATTTGGAGAAGAAGGATGGGTTACAGTCTAGAAATAGGATTGAAAGTCTGTGGAAGTGGAAGAGTTTTTCTTTGAAGCTTGTGTGCGTTAGGCAAGGAATAAACTTTCAACCTCGTTTTTGATAGAATTATGCTTTCAACAAGCCAATGGTATGAAACTTAATAGTGTTCTCACTCTAATCCTTTAATTGTGTAGACAGCTTTATTGAGATATAATTGACATAAACTGTACATATTAAAAGCATATAATTTGTTAAATTTTGATACATTTGTACACCCAAGCAACCATCACCACAATTGAAATAATGAGCATATATGTTAACCAGAAGTTTGCTTATGCTCTTTTGTAAACTTTCCCTTCTATCCTTTAGGCAACCACTGATTTACTTTCTATCACTATAGATTAATTTGCATTTTCTAGGGTTTTATATAAATGGAATCATATAGTATGTACTTTTCTGTGGTTTAGATTTCTTTTATTCAGTATAATAATTTTGAGATTCATCCATGTTTTGCTTGTATCAATAATTCATTTTGTTATTGTTGAGTAGTATTCCACTGTATGGACGTACTGCAATTCTTCCATTCACCTGTTGATGACCATTTGGGTTGTTTCCGGTTTTTGTGTATTACAAATAAAGTTGTTATGAGCGCAAGTCTTTGTATGGATGTGTGCTTTCTTTTCTTTTGGGTAAATATCTAATAGTGGAATGGTTGGATCGTGTGGTAGGTGTATGTTTAACTTTTTAAGAAATTGCCAGTTTTCTTTTTTTTTTCTCCCCCTATTACTGCAGAATTCCCTGTTGAACTCAGTTTCCTCTCTCCACAATCTTAAAAGCACTGACTTTCTGAATAGTGAAAATTATAACAATAATAGCCATTTTAAAAATGGCAGTTCCCAAAATTCAGGTAATTACCATGTACCAGACTCTGTGTGCTAAGCCCTTAGAAGACTTAGATCCAAATCCCAGTTTTATCACTTCCTAATCCTGACTCTGGACAAGTGGCTTAACCTTGCTGACCTCACTTCCCTCACCTGTACAATAAAAATGATAAGAGTACCTAATAAAGTTGTAACAGATATTAAATGAGTTAATAAACTCAAAGCCCTTAGAACAATGCTCCTGCATTAAACAAAACAAATAAACCTTCACTGAGGGACAGGGTGGGACAGTTGATGACCTGGTGTCACTCATATGCAAAGTTCGAGTTGGGAACCCAGTATAAGACAACTTGATGGGGTCTGTAGGATCTGACAACATGGAAT